TGCTTGGTCACAAAATGTTGAGTGAACCAGGTTCATTATTATTCTTGAAATTACTGAAAATACCCATCAGGGCATTACAGAAAACCAGAGGTTTAGCGAAGATATCTTTTTCGGTGATTTCATTCTCCATAGCTGTATAGTCGCAATCTATACATTTTTGTTTTACTATTTTGGATAGTTACAAGAAATATTTAATTAAGCCTAGTAATGAAGATTGAAGATTTAAAAATGTGATGCTGGGTGAAAATTAGTCATTAAGGTGCACAGAAACCAGCATAATTAACCGAATAGAATTCAAAGTAAAAATAATTTTGAACAGCAGGAGAGAGATAGAGGTTCATATAATGTTGGTAATTCACTAAGTCCAGGGTAGCAACAAAGACTAAACAAGTTTCTTTTGCACACCTAATTTCGGTGTTTCCATGCATCTGGTAAGAGCCTCTATAGTACACAGAAGACAGAAGGGGACCACTTTTGGCAAAATTCTTTTCATCCTGTAGATGACTTTGATTGCCGAATCAGTTGTGATGCTGTAACCGGTGTTAACAAGGTATTCAGTTATTTCACTTCTGATGGATCCACTCGCACCTCTTTTCGGCCAAGCAGGACAATGTTCTCTAACACATTTGGAAAGAATGTGCATCGAAAGACCGACATACACGACTCCACAAGAGGAGCAGGTGAGTTAACAAACAAATATGGAAGTTGTCAGATGCGAAAATTTATCCTTCGGGTTACCAGGACACAATGGATGACTGGACAATACTATCTTCAACACTGACGCAAAGAAAATTTTCGTTAGCGACTTCGGAAATTTTCTTTTCAAGATATCAGGAGCGAGGTCACCTTTAAAGCCAAGATTCATGTATAATATCTTCTTTAGAATTGAAATGAGTATGTCTCTGTGTGGTTTGTGTCTTATGTTTTATCCACAAATCGTGCTGGATATCCGTTTTCAACCGGAACTAATTATCACCTCCCATCACAATTGTGAATTTTCAGTCTTCATTCAACTTGATCTTTGTTACTAGCCTGAATTAAATATTTCTTGTACTTACCCAAAATAGTTAAACAAAAACGTACAAATTGCGATAGTACAGATATGGTGAAGGAAATCAACGAAGATATCTGCACTAAACTTCTCGTTTTCTCTTATGCAATGAAGTAGGTTGAGGCGGGAAAAACGTTAAAGGTGATCAAACTAAAACGTGGCACCAGTCCTTGAAGTCTTTAAGTGTTAGTTCTAGCCTTTTGGGGAAGTGTAAGCTTCCCGGTTAGGGTCCGGTAGACAACAGAAACTAGTGATTGGGGACTCTATGTGACATAGCTCAGACTCAGTGTCAGCGGCGCAGACGTATCCGTACATTGTCTTAATCGTAATCCCCGTATTGATATCAATACTTCCTCATTCCTTTTTCCTCTCTCGCTACTTTCTGCTAACTTTAACCAATTTTTCTTCCTTTTCTTATCTTTCATTTTGTTGCTTTGTTACTTGATGTATTAGTATAAAATATGGCAACTTGGGCCGTTACGCAGTAATACCTCGTTCTTCCTTGGTATTGATAATGATGTTGACTTTTGGTTGATATTGCCAGTTGAATTTCCTGTATGCAGACTACATCTTTTAGAGGAAACATTTTATAATTGAGTTGGTGCTTTAATAATTTCAGCAGTACTTTTCATTTTTAAACATACTAATCGAGATTTCTGCATCTCGGTTATTATGCACCGCAGCTTTTCTTTTGTCGCTATCTAAGTATAGTAATATCCAAATTTCGAGTTTGTGAAACTTCCAAATGAAAATAGTCCTTCGTTTAGCCCATGTTAAAATTGGGTTCTTCATTCACCTTTTATTCATATTTTCACGCGTACTTACATTCCAAATTACTTAGTGACATTTAATGTGAAACGGTATTAATTATCATATATTCAACCTTAGGTGAAAAAATTATTGTGTTTTTAGACTTTCTTTTTTAACCCAACCTGTCGTAATAGAAAACGTAAGTGTAAAATACTAAGAAAGAGAAAAGTAAGTGGTTTGAAATGAAAACTTTAATGTTCTGTTTTAAGAGTTCCTGAATAACAATTTAGCATTACATCCATAAAAAGTAATCTGATAATGGCGATGAATTAAACTTATTAAACTGAAAACCTAAGAGTAATTCTCCTTAAAACCTGAAGATCCTCGATCTCTGTCGAGGTTATGATTGTGCACTACTGAGAAACCCCACACTAGGATGAAACAGCTGTCCAGTGTTCCCAGGTTTCAATGTTTCTCTAATTGATATCAGTCAGTGATGAATACCATTTTGAGATCAATGGATCCTCACAAACTTCCAAACTGAATTCTGAGTTGCGTAAATATACCAAAACACTCTACTGGTCTTTGTGCTAGTTTTTTACACAGAACATTTTATATCGAGATCGTATGGACAGCTAAGTGAATGAATCAAACAGTTAATTTATTTCTTGACTAACTGAGAACTCATAAAAAGATTAAGTCAATTTGTCAAGCATTAATGCTCGTTTTCCAGTTTTACTAGACTAAAGTCGACAATTAAGGATGAGGGGTAGTATATATCTTTTTACTACAGTGAACTGAAGATACTACATTCAGTAAAGATAAATTGATCTGTGGAGATTTTGTACAATTACCTATAAGGTTGTTCTGATGACAGAAATGACATCAAGAAGTGAACTAAACCAGATGGATACATTTTTAGTTCGAATTAGGACGCAGTCATTATGTTTCGAAAACACAACTCATCTTATAGGACTTCGAAACATCCTGTGCAAACATTATGACTTATTCACAGAACAAACTTTTCATGAAGTGTGTAAATGGTTTTATATATATATATATATATATATATATATATATATATATATATATATGATGGAATTTGAGGAAAGGTAGAGAGGTCTAAATAAACGTTGGTTTTTTGATCTTAGCTTTATACTAACTTGTAGGCTACCTGACCGGTACATTCATTTGCTCACCATAACCTGTGAACGTTATGAGCATATTATTAATTGTCTGTCACCGTTCTATTGTCTATCACGATGTTTTTTTTGAAGTATTTCAATATTACTCAATTCATATTCCTTTCTTTGCTCTTGTAAATTATCCTAGGCTAACGTGAATGCTTGTGCTAAGTTCTACATTGGTTCATCTGCTCATCTTCTGTCGTCTTGGCTTACAGATTAAATAGCAAGCATAACCTTTCAAAATTTACATTTATTCACTGATTTTTAGTCATCTGTTTTTTCATTTCACCTACATTCAGGACTCTGCAATTAGCAGAGTCTAGTATTCGTTTCAAGAATACTTAGCAACAAACATACTTGATCTACAGACAATATTGTAATTTACCTAATCAACTGGATAATTCATCATGTATAGAAAATTTTAATGTAACTACAACTAGGCTATTCAATATTGTTGTATATTCGTTTAATATTGAGCGTTTTTATTATGCTACAGATTATTATCCATGTAGGCGACTATGAATTCAACATTCTATCTACGAAACTCTGAAAACAAACTATTCATGAGTTTATAAAATATCAACACACACACACATACAGCATCTGATATGTTGGAAAGTCGTCATTGTGCACCATGTAACTGTATTTTAAATGATAGCAGTATACTTTACGATAGGTAGTTTACTGTACGGTTTCAGTCTAAACTGTTATGGTATTCCTTTGTTTTCAATGCTTTCGTTTTTGTTGAAACATAGTAATCATTATTCTAAGTTTACTTGTCAAAAAGGATGAAGTCAGATATCATTTAATGAATGTTACTGATTATTATGTGTTGGATATCATTTGTATGTGTTGTCATTGCTACAGTGACACAATATCTCAATAACTTGTCTAGTGATCATCTCTTACTCAGAGAGATAATAACAGTATTAATGGGAGTAAAATTATACCCTAGGCAATTTATTCAGTTGAATATTAGTGTAGTGACAAGTGTTTTTTATTCAACTTGGAGGTATTCTGATATTTTTATTGTTCCCCGTATTTGACTTGAATACTCGGCCAGCCGATTATTTGTAGCCGACTGACCCAGTGTTTTACTGCTCATTGTTCTGCATGCTGAATGGTTCTTCAAGTTTCTGATTTACTGTTTAATAAGCAGAAAAGAGACAGCTTATGTTCTACTATAATCGACAGCATCTGATGGTGAGGATCGACTGTGGAGGTTTTAGTTTATGGTGTTATTCTAGCCTTTTTTCTTCAGCTTCAAATTTCGCATTCTGGTCCTTCACCTTGCAGTTATGGATGTAAAGCGAAGTCTCAGTAAATTGCTGTCTTAACAATAGTGTGTATGCAAAACGGTCATTGAGTAGAGCAGACAATTACTATATGAGCACTCGTGTAGCTATGCCTCAGTGGTTTAGGGAGATGGCTATGAACCATTGGATCACGGGTTCCATCCCCACCCCACCTTAACGAGGTTTGGGCAACCAGGTGTTGTCATACGCCCACATGCAATAGGTGTGGCTCATTGCTTACTGCACGTGTGTGCACAAAGTGGCTGCGTGTATTTAGTTGCATATGGGCACAAATGGTAGGTGACTGCAGCATTTCTACATATTTTATCTAAACAGATTTTACTCACCTATGATATTTTAGATAATTCGAAATCCATCCACTTTGATACATTTATACGATAGTGTTAATTAGCATGCTTTCACTTTAGCATTTAACATGACAAAGTGTATAAATATGAATTAAATAAATATTTATCAAAACTGTATCTGGAAAAAGATTTATAAATTTTGTATAATTACTGAAAAATCTTCAAAGAAAAATAAGAGTATGAGTACTGTTCATTTTTGCCTACGATTTTCAGTCTCATCTACTTTATTCAAGAAATTAATACGTTGCCATCAATGGATATAGATTTAAGTATGTTTTATCATGCATTTTTGTGTTTCTTTTTGATATCTCAAAGGTTGAATTTTTCTTCCTTTACGTTTTTTTCGCAGTTCCAGATGATTGATCTTGGACAACCGAAACGAGCTTTATTATCACGTATCGATTATGGTGTACGCACTCTTCAAGAAGCTTTTGATGATATCAATAAGCCTATATATGCTGATGAAGAAGCATTACGTGGGGATCATATAGTACGTTGCTAGTTATATGTGATGGTTTGCTGTACTGTTATTCTATTTTGTTTTTATTTATCAAATGCAGTGTTCACTGTTCAGTGAACTACTGACGAAGTGAATCTTTGGAAGATACGTGGTGCTTATCGTATTTAATTACAGGGTTGAGTACTGCAGTTTGAAACACTTCTAAAGTTATGAAATTTCATGTGATTGTATAGAAATATTTGTGGTAAAAACTACCTTCCAGACTCATTTTTGACTTCTTCCAGACATTTGAAGTATAAAACGTAATTCGTTGTTACACAAAAGTACATATTTTTTGGGTATTGCAGTATTGGTTGGTAGGTTGACTCAATGACTCATTATGAGTACTTATCATCTGGAAAGCAACACTTTTAAAGTCAGGTTTATCAGGATAACCAGTGGAAGTATATAAACAGATGTTATAAGAAACGACAAGACTGAGACGCGGGACAGAGCGTTTAGTATGACAACTTGTACAGTAGTGAAAAAATATTGTATTGTCCATTAAAATAGTCATTTTCACAATATATTTTACTTCCTCTTCTACTTCTGTCTCGACTTGTTTTTAATACGCTTAGACTGTCTCTTGTACTCCTCTGGGTAGAATGTTTATCCACCACTGGTAATTATCTATTATTTTTGCAGACCTCTCAACATATACTACTTGTATCCATTCTTATCAATAGCACCCACTAGAACACTTAGTAATCATAGAAATCATAAATCATACCCTACGTAGTCCTGCAAAGCCAGTAAGTCGTTGTTGAAAATATCTCCTTAAAGCGCACTTCTTTCTCAAGTTTGAGTTGATTACAATGTCAAGAATGATAGTGAAAAATCCATGACCAATTCATGACACAAAAAGTTTTAGAGGAAATTTTACATTACTGCGAACTAATTAATTTTATACGTGGGATTCAATAATGACATAATTCATCAACAATTGTAGTAGTAATCAAAATCAAAGGTTAATTATAACATGCACTAGGTCACTGAAACAATCTCACACAAAAATAAAGCACTTGACGAAGCAGATTGACATAATCATACATTCGTTAAGCCTTCTTTGGTCAAGGAATAATTATGTACGGGTCTGTATATATAAGATGAAAAACGGTCTCTGAACTGTGGTCTTATTACTGGGTTTAAAATAATAACCTAGTGACATTTATTTACTTGGATACTGATGTATTCTTCACAGCTACGGAAAGTGAATTTCTTCTAAAAATTCGTTGTCCGTAGTTTTACCCCAGGCCGACTGGGGACATCACGCGCCAGGCCAGGCTTAGCCCTCGAGTGAAATCCAAGGAGGAAACGACAAGTTGGGCGTCTGAGTCGGGGTAACATAGAGGAAATCATATGAGGAAGGAATGAAAGCTTCTGGGCAGTCGTGGCGCCAGGTTCAAAAGACTGCAGAGCACAGAGTGCAATGGAGGCGTGCTACTGAAGCTCTATGTTCCACTAGGAACCCAAGGGAAAAATAATTATTATAGTAGTTTTGCTTTTAATATGTAATTTGAAGTATTCCTACTGTTAATTTAGGATTATGATTTATTTGAAACAGTTAGTCCCTTTTATGAATTACGCTATCGAGATTATGCTTTATGCGTGAACCCATAAACTATAATTCAGCAATCAGGTCCATATTCATGTTATGCTATAACTCAAATGTAATATGAAACCTACTAATATTCTTATATAATTACCCAAACCATACTTATAAAAAATACCAGGTTTGCAACTATGGGTTACGAAGGTGAAGTGAAGTACCGAAACCATTGAGTTACAGTTGCTTAGTTCCAGATAACTTGCCTACTAGCACGAAAACTGTCTATTTATCTCTTATAACTGCATGGCACATTATGGTTTTTTATCAGTTTAATAGTTATTTAAAAAACGCTTTAGAAGTTTGTGAAACTCCTAATCTTTTTGTTCTTCGGATGGGTGTAATGATTTAAGTGTTTTAGTTTATTTCTTTATGTCAAGCTCCCACTATTGGATTGTCGAATTAAGTATAATATCTCGGAAAAAATGGCTTTGAGATTCTAACTTCATTTTTCTCTGGATTACCCTTGGACTACCTCTATGCAACACAGGAGTTAAGTGGTGTAGTCGCATAATCCTACTTACTTTGCCTTCAGCGTACACTGGTAACCAAAAAATACTTTCTGTTCAAGAAATGTGTTTACCACTGGCTAGTCAGTTCATATTAGTATTACTTAAGTTAGACAGCAAGTTCGTTAATACAACTTATAAATCTATATCCTATGTATGTAGACTGAATAATGAGAAAACTGTGCCCTTAATAATTCGAAAGTTTAAATGTTTTTTTGTGTGATTCTATGTTCAAAACAACTACATTTATTACAATAAAATAATTTTTTTCTGATTCATTTGAAGAATACAAAACGTTGGCGTTTAGAAACATTAGAACAAGCCCGTGCTGGTGTTCTCAGTCATTTAGGTGCAATGACAATGGCCACTGGTCGTTTGATATCTGGAATCCAATCGCCTGACAGTCGTGGACGTGATGGTACGCGTTATCTATATTAACATAAAGATCTAAATCTGTTTTTATAGTTACATTTACTTATATTTCTATTAATGCCTTGAATTCTTGACTATGGATGCCTTATTTCCGATCTGAGTCCAGTATCTTATGATTTGGGATTGCCCTGATCGTCTATATTGAACTGGGGAGTTGGATCGACTTGAACGGGCTGGTTGCTGCTGAAATCTCAGCTCGGGTACAGAAGACCCGTTTAGCATTCACCAGTTTGCGTCATCTGTGGCATCGACTGGCGAAATATCCAACTATCTATCAAACGTCGAGTATTCTGCACTGCAGTCCATTTTGTCCTGTTATACGACTGTCAGATAGCCGTTAGGAGTGGAATACATGAACCGATTACACGTTTTTATCCTATGTATCTTCGTAGCATAGTTAGCTCTTGGTGGATACATCATGTGAGAAATATTGAGGTCAAGTGAAGAGTACTAGGTAAAATACGCAAGTTTGTGAACCTCAGTTAACTGAGATCGTTCGGACATGTGGTGTGCATGTCGAACCATACCAACCGAAGTTAGATTAGGTTGGAGGAGGGTTCGGGGTGGGCACATCAAGACATGACACCAGTCGATGAAGTCCCTGACTATCGATCTTAATCGTGTTGGGAGATGTAGACTACCTGGTTGTGGTCGTCGAGATGATAGGAATCAGTGGTTGAGAACTCTTGGTGACATGGCTGAAATTCGGTCACAATGATCCAGATATACTCACTACTTGAGGTTTTCCTAAACTTGAATATATACACTAACAATTATCTGTAAGTTGTGTATTCTCTGACATAACTTTGTCTACTTCGATGTCTATCTTATTCTGTCTATGTATCTTTGTATGCTATTGTGAAGTGTGTCAACTTGGAGGGATGGACTTGTGTGTGAGGTTCTACTTTGATTTTGTGTTTGTCTATACTAAACTTCTTGTAGGTTTTGTTTGATTAGAGGGCTCGTTTCATTTATTTATGAAAGTCTCTTATTCATTATCAATGGTAAGAAATACTTAATGTGGAGACAATGGTTGCATCTACACATCTTTTGAAAATCGTTTGGTTTTCCATAAAAAAAAAGGAAAACATACTTAATGTCATTTCTGATGTTGGTGCTTCTTTGCTCACCACGCTGATCTGCTATAGTAATAGTGCTAAGCGTCTATTGAAAAATGAATTTTTTTTTCTGAATAAATTTCTTTTTTTATTGTGAAGATACTGTAAGAATTCACTAGTTCAACATTTTGACAGGATTTATGGAGACTGGCACCTTTTGAAGACGTTCATTCTGAAATCAAGATTTTTATTTTGAAAAGATTTTGAGATGGTGAATTCTGTGTTTAAATATGTTGTTCTAGAGATTTGCAATCAAATTTATCAGCGAAAAATTAATCAAACAATGAATATAAATTAAGAAAATTTACCTTACCACTTCTCATTAACAAATTTCAGATGATTTTTTGAGTATACTTCTTGCACTTGATTCCATAAAAGTTATTAAACTGTTGTTTTCTTAGTTGTTTGGCTACATATTTTGAAGGCTTCCTATTGTGGACCGCCTGAAAGTTAACCTTGTTATTAAGCTAAGACTTGTTACTTGGTGACACGTTTCACTTCCTTGATTTGTTGTTGATGAGATGTAAAAACGTTTTTGATATGACTTATTTAGATCCGAGTATGTAGGAATTATAAGAAGAATGGTTTATATTATTATTATTATTTGTTCCTTGGGTTCCTAATGGAACATGAGGCTTCAGTATCACGTCATCATTTCACTCTGTTATCTGCAGTCTTTTGAACCTCGCTAAACGACTGCCCAGAAGCTTTCATTTCTTCTTTACACCATCTTCTTCATGTCACCCTCGGACACCCAACTTGTCGTTTCCCCTTTGGATTCCACTCGAGGGGCTGACCTGGCCTGGCGCCTGATTTTCCCGAATGGTTCGCTCAGTGTAAGCCCAATCCAATCCATCTCCACTTTCTTCTTCTGCATAATTGTTGGGTGTTGGATTGTTGGTTGGTTCATTGCCAGGCTGAGTTCTTTGTTGCTTATTCTTTCTGGTCATCTAATCTCCATCTTCATTGTCGAGTGAGCGTATGCCGCAGCTGTTGTTGAATGTCTTTAGTTTGTTGGAAATGCTTTTCGTAATGCCCCAAGTTTCTGAACCATATAAGAGAACTGACTTGACTGACTTAGTGTTGAAAATCCGTACCTTGTTCACGCTTAATGCTGAGTGCAGTAGATCTCCACACTGATTTTAGGTTAATGAAAGACTGTCTTTCCGATCCTGGCTTTCACATCATCTGTGCCGCCTCCTGTAGTTGAGAGGATGCTGCCGTGGTAGGTGAAAGAGACCAGTTCCTTTAGGTTTCTACCGTTGATGGTGATTGGTGCTCGTTGTTGTTGATTGAGAGCTTTGATTTATCATTGTCGATCAACTTCGCTTATCGACTCGCCTATCCAGCCTTTCTGTAATTTTCTTATATTCTATAGGAATTCTGTATTGATAATGGATACTCTTTTTTTGATACCTCATTTCTAGATTTTGTAGCTTTATACGTAAATAAATAAGTGAAGTTATATACACACTCGTCGTTCTTACGTCAAATTAACTAGTTTTTAAAATATAAGTAATTCATGTTCTTTTTTTTTCCTAATGAATCATAGATCCAGCCTCGATGTTTTAAAACTGCTCGTAACGTTAGCTTGTTTTTCTATGAGTCTACGACGTATTTATCTGTCGATAATCTATAACAGTTAACTGTTCATTACCCCATGTAATTATATAATTATTACGTGGAAGTGTTGCTCATATAATAGGATATTTATTCGGATCTTTCAAGTTTCCTTAAAGAGTGGTCCATTACTGAATTTTACAATAGAGTCACATTCGCTAACATTCTCTTTGTTTGTCCCTCTAGTCCACAATGTTCTTTCCTTGTATCTGCTTCCTTCAAGTTATATCTTATCTCTCAAATTTTCATCAGTCGACATTATTATTTCTTGTGTTCCTTTATATTGTGTCATACACTACTGATATACATTCTTATACCTACCGTTCACCATACGTTGAATACTGATCGATGTTAGTTTTGTTTCACGTATACACTATCTCTGCAACATTTATCAGTTATTACTTTATCTTAAGGGATGAAATATTTTATTTCTTTGAAGTTGAATAAATTAATGGCCTTAGTTCTATTTTTTTTAGTATAACTGATCGGTTAGTCGAAGACCAAATAGTTTCGAATCCCAGTGTAATAAATCTTTGCTTCATCGTTTATTTGTCTGCTGTTATTTTGACTCAGATTTCAGTTAGTAATCTTGGTTTAGCATCTTCGTTCCATGGGTGCCAATGAATATAAATCGGAAATGCTAAATTGATTCATCCTACCTTAAACTAATGTCAATGAAAAATATAACAATAAGGTACTATTTAGAGACTTCACTAATATGTACTATCAACCGCCTCAGAAAGTTGCGTTTTGCAGTGAGAATTTCCTTGGTTCAACTTCTAAGGTGATATGTTTATTCTTCTAAGAGTTTCCAAATCATGGTTAAATTGCATTTCACCTTGTCTTCATTCTTAATAATGTCACTGGGTTTGGAAAGCTATTTGTAATTAATTAGCTAGGTATCTTTTTATACTAAGTTTCCTTGTCTGATTTCAAACATTTGGGATCCAATTTTGCGACAATCTAATTTATTATCAAATCAACAATTTTATTTCGCATGCTTTTTCTAAAAAAAATCGTTTTGACAGCATGATACACAGTAAAAGAGAGCAATATTCTTGATTTTCTATTATGACATTATCATTTTCTGCCTTAATTTTGCATGTGTTCAACCGTGAAGTCATACACTCAAAACTTTTGTTTATTAACTGGTTGTACAGTCATCGTTAGGTTGGGAAGTTATTGATTACTACTAAATTTAGGGCGTTTCACCTTACTTCCCCTCAGCTATGACATTTTCTCGAAAAGATTTCATGGCAAAGTGGTAAATATGAAATTAGTCACTGGGAACGGGTTCACCAAATGATATCTAGTTTTAATAATCGTGCTGGCATAACTACGATGATCCTGAAGACCTTCCTTGTTTGAGTGTGCCTATGCACGTTTACTTTAGATTTTATTTGTAGGTAGAAAATCACTTGATACTCTCATTAGTTAGTTAGCAAATTTTGTTTCCCAGTTAGTGAAAAATGATAACTTAGTGTATTTTTAAGATGAATGGAGATTTTAAATTTAGAAGTAGTATTCATCATGGACTGACATCAGTTGGGGAACCATTAAAAATCTGGGATTACTGAACAAAAGAGTCCCATACTATGATAACTTATAGGTTTAGTGGCATGTTAACTATGTAATAAAGTATGCAAAGAACCACTATCTAGTAATAAACTGTATATTAATGTAAGTATAGAATTTGGACACTGTGATAGAGTAATTATACTGCTAAGTTTATCCAGAAGTACATAAAGATGCATTAAAAAAGGAGAAGTAGTGTTGCGAACGACAATTACAACACGACTAATCAGGAATTCAATACCTTTCCTATGTTGCAATATAAGGAAGGGACATCAGAAACCCTAGGTAGAATTCTCAACAAGTCGGGTTAGGGTAGTATTCAAACCTACAAACTCACTGAGAGACAAACTTTGTTGGCTTATGGATTATATGGACTCAGTTAGACAGAATAATTGAATTTATCAAATTCCGTACTGTGACTATGGGGTCAGTCAGACTAACTGAACATCGGAACCTAGCTAAGTCTAGATTGATAAACTAGAATAAGATGGGTAATTTAAAGTATAAGTCACCCATAGCTATGCGTGCGACAACACGCAACCAGATAACACAGTGAGACAAATTCATAGTCCTGAAGTCAAATGTAGTTAAGTGGAGATAGAAGTTGATCACTGATTCTATGTTTATCAATCCGATTTACGTGGGTTCGAAATGACGCGATACTAAGATGCTT